GTTATAACTTCCTCTTTCTCAGGTTGTGATATTGCACCGATAAGTTATGTTTCCTTCTTCCTCCGGTTATGTCCTTTCTTAGGTTGTGATATGGCATCTCTAAGTTATGTTTCCTTCTTCCTCCGGTTATGTCCTTTCTTAGGTTGTGATATGGCATCTCTAAGTTATGTTTCCTTCTTCTTCCGGTTATGTCCTTTCTCAGGTTGTGATATTGCATCTCGAAGTTACGTCTCCTTCTTCTTCAGGTTATGTCCTTTCTCAGGTTGTGATATTGCATCTCTAAGTTATGTTTCCTTCTTCTTCCGGTTATGTCCTTTCTCAGGTTGTGATATTGCATCTCTAAGTCACTACTTCCTCTTTGTCTAGGTGGTGATACCTCACATGACGGAGTCCTACTCGTCATCCCAGGATCCCCCGGAGAGGAGCATTCCCATCTGTACGCTGAAGAACTTCCCCAACGCTATCGAACACACGCTGCAGTGGGCGCGGGACATGTTCGAGGGACTGTTCACGCAGCCTGCAGAGACCGTGCAAGCTTACCTACTGGTACGTACTCATCTTCCTTCTTTTCCTCCCTCCCTCCTTCCTTCTTTCCCTCCTTCCCTCTCCCTCTCTCAGCTAGCTAGCTGGTGCGTGCCTTCTCTCTCCTTCATCCCTCCCTCCCTCCCTCCCTCCCTCCCTCCTTCAAAGCTAGCTTGCTAGTTTGTACACGGTTGCGATACGGTCCCTCTTATCACCGCTCGATTGTGACACGCCCCCCTCTCACCCGTCTCCTGATTTACAGGATCCCAAGTTCATGGAGCGGACGATGAAACAACAGGGCATGCAACCCATCGAGACCCTGGAAGTCCTGAAGAGGGCGCTGATTGACGATCGGCCGTCAACGTTCGAGGACTGCATAGCGTGGGCCCGCCTTCAGTTCCAGGAGCACTACTACAACACAATCACGCAGCTTCTGTACAACTTCCCTCCCGATCAGGTAACGAGGTCACGGCTCGTTAGTTGTTAATTAGCGTAATTAGTTATGTAACTATTATTGGTAAATAGTTATTAGTTAAACGGAAGTAGAATGGGTTTACGTTTGCTGAAGCATGAACTGTTGCATGAACTATATACAGATATAAATCGTTTCAAGTGAATTGGTTATATAATATCATTGTTTAGGTTGTTAATTAATTAATTCGTCGTTACTATAGAATTTTTTTAACGAGGATTTTCCTCTCGTTCTATGTTTCAGACGACGAGCAGTGGCGCCCCCTTCTGGTCAGGTCCCAAGAGGTGCCCTCATGCGATCAGGTTTGACATCAATAACGTAAGTTGACACGTCAGATGACATTTTGATGCAATTTACTTTTTTTCTCTGTAATTAATTTTCTATCGTCTACCATCTAGTTACACATGTTTCTTTCGCATTCTCGTCATTCAAACGACGGACAACAATCGCCAATCCCCGCGACGCGTACCTCCATCTTCTGACGCGTGCTGCACTTGTTTTCGCATTCTCGTTATACTCGACGACCGTCGCCGCTCCCGCGCCGCCATCTTGTTGACGCGTGCTGCCCTCTTGCAGGCGATGCACGTGGACTTCGTCGTTGCCGCGGCGCACCTCCACGCTGAGAACTATCGCATCAAGGGATGGAGGGACCGCGCTGCCGTCGCCGCCGCCGCCGCGCGCCTGAGCGTGAAAGAGTTCGTGCCTCGATCCGGTGTCAAGATAGCTGTCACGGACACGGAGGCACAGTCACAGAACATGGGGGCGGTCGGTGAGTGAGGGGAAGAGAGGGAGGGGAGGGGAAGGAAGATAGCTGTCACAGACACGGAGGCACAGTCACAGAACATGGGGGCGGTCGGTGAGTGAGGGGGAGGGAGAGAGGGGAGGGGAAGGAAGATAGCTGTCACAGACACGGACGGCACATGTCACAGAAACATGGGCGGTGCGCCGGATGAGTGAAGGGGAGGGGGAGAGGGGAAGAAGATAGCGTGTGTCCACGGACACGGAAGGCACATTCACAGAACATGGGGCGGTTCGGAGTGAGGGGGAGGGGGAAGGGAGGGGAAGAAGATACTTTCACGACAGCGAGCACCAGTCACTAGAACATGGGGGCGTCGGAGCGTGAAGGGGCGAGGGGGACGAGGAGGGAAGGAAGATACTGTCACGGACACGGAGCGCACAGTCACAAGCATGGGGGCGGTCGGTGAAGTGAGGGGAGGGAGAGAGGAAGGAAGATAGCGTCACGGACACGAGGCACAGTGCACAGAGCATGGGACGGTTCGGTGAGGTGAAGGGATGGGAGAGAGGCAGGGGGAGAGGGAGGGGTTGAGGTGGGGCGAGTTAGGGGGTGGATGAAAGGGCGGTAAGGCAGGTGGCAGGTGGCAAGGGGATGAGGGAGGGGTTGGTTATTGAGCGAGCTAGGTCGTGATAGAAGGAGGGTAGCATGGGGGAGGGGAGAGGTGTGTAGGAGGGGGAGGGGAGGAGGTGTAGTGATTGGGGAGGAGGATGTGTGGCACGGGGAGGAGCGCAGCAGGCAGGGCGCAAGCGGAGCGAGCTTCTCCTCTTCAGGCAAGGGCTGGAAGCGACGTAAAGGTCGCAATTAACTTGTCATCCTCTCGGCTCCCCCTCCGCTGATCGATGCCTAATCTCCCCCCCTCCCCCGCTCCTCCGCTGTGTGTCGATGCTATCTCCCCCCTCCCCGCCTCCCTCCGCGTCGAGTGCTAGCTCCCCCTCCTCCCTCCGCCTACCCGCTGTCGATGTCTACCTCCTTCACCCCCTCCCCCCTCGCGCTCCGCTGTCGATCTTACCTCCCCCCTCCCCCTTCCCCTGCCGCGTCGATCGCTACCGCCCCCGCCTCCCCCTCCCTCCGCGTCGATCGCTACCTCCCCCTCCCCTCCCCTCCGCGTCGATGCTACTCTATACGCCGCCTCCCCTCCCCCTCCGCGCTCGATGCTACTCCCCTCCCCCTCCTCCGCTGTCGATGCTACTCTCGCCCCGCGATCGCATCGACAACAGCAACGTCTGTCAACGCATCTGTGATAGCCCAGCTCGACCGCTCTCATCGTCTGTCCTGCAGACACAGTGAGCTGAGCGTCCGGCTCCAGCGCCGCTACCGTCGAGCGCACTCGCTGCGGGACATAGGTCGTCATGACGTGATCGATTGAGAAGGATGACGACTCGAACCATCACATGGACTTCATAGTGCGACCTCTAAACCTCAAGCGGCGAACGTACGACATCATCCGCCCGCCGACCAGCACAAGGGTGAGCGACCGTTCGCTGTTGTCGTCGCGGCGGGACACTGTTAACGAATTGATCCGCGGGAGTGGCGATAATTCGAATTAGATTAGCTCTGAAAAGTGTAATTAAAATATATCGCAAAATAATGCGAGTTAATTTAAAAGATTGGCGCTTGCGAAAAAGATGAATTCGGTCAAAGATCTCAAATCGTTGCGTGGATGGCGTTGCCCGTGGCTGGTTCAATCGGCTTGTGATAAATACACGTGCGAATCAATCATTATGATATATTGGTACCGTCTTCGATTGAATTCATTGATTGATTTCAGAGCCAGGCACTGCGGAACGAATCATCCGCGCTACGCGCACGACGACGCTCACTTGTACCGTCTCGTCTGGCCTAGCGCTGTATAAGTAACGATCGATGACATGTCATTGTCAGAGTGACACGCCGACTGCGTTTCATACGATGCGTTGTGAGCGTCGCTTGCGTGGATTGTTGGGGAAGCACCGCTGTGTGATGGGTTGCTGCTAACAGTGTGCTGCTGCTGTGTGTGTGTGCCGTGTGACGTGTGTGCTGCGTGCGTGCGTGCGCGTGCCCGTGTGTGTGTGTGTGTGTTTGCTAGCTTATCGATTTTTAAGGCGATGTGCAGCTTATGTGTAGCTTAGGTTGTTGTGTCGCGTTGCGGCGCGGTGCGCGTGCCGTGCGCGTGCGCCGGCATGTGCCAGTATGTGCGTAGCGTGCGCAGTGCGTTTTGTGTGTTGGAGTTGTGTTTTTGCTAGGCTAATCGATTCTAGCGATGCAGCTATGTGTAGTTCAGTGTGTTGTGTTGTGCGTTGCGCCGGCGCGTGCTGCTGCTCTGTGGTGTGTGCGTGTGGCGTGTGTGCGCGTGCGTGCGTGCGCGTGCGTGTGTGGTGTAGTGTGTTTGGCTAGGCTTATCGATTTTAGCGATCGCAGCTATGTGTATGTTAGTTTGGTTGTGTGTGTTGTGTGTGTTTGCGTTATGTTTTTTATTTTATGGATATGTAATTATGTATCGTTAGGTTGATTTATGTTATGTTATAATGTGTATGTCTACGTTTATAGTGTTTACTGTGTGTAAGTTGATAATTTGTATTATGTATGTTAGGTTATGTTTATTATGTATTTATGTAGCTTACGTTTTATAGTGTATTGTGTATGTGATCATGTATATGTATGTTAAGGTTATTTAGTATGTTATGTTATTTCAGTTATGTATGTTATGTAGGTTATGTTATGTTAATGTTATGATTTATGTTTATGTTATGTTATGTTATGTTATGTATGTAGTTATGTTTTGTTATGTTCATGCTTCATGGCAATGGCTCGCACACCTAACTTTTTTTCAGTGGTCCCGATGCAGGCCCCAAAATCAGTGATTTTCCAAATTTTGTGCCCGAAATAAATCTGGTGGCCCGCGAAAAAACACAAAGAAAACATTATAAATCTATTCAATCTTCGTCATGTATATTATTTGAAAATTGGGCGTCTGAGCAGCTGCACAAGTCTTTAAACAACACACAATGACACACTACATGATGATGAAGGCATACATTTGAATATCCATTCCAACCGGCAAATCAAATTTCACGCAGAATCTTGCATACCATTTCTTCTACTTTCACTCATATTATCTAAACATGCGCGTTGCACATGCTCATCGATCAGTTCAGACCGTTCAAGAAAGATCAAATCCAGAGCATGCAAAATTAAAACAAGTAAACGTACATAAAACAACAACACATTGGCTCATGTTAAATAAAACATATACATGAATCTCATAAAGTTAAAAATGTCTGCAGCTTGAAAACGTAAAAATAAAATTTGCAAGATTTCAATCAAGATAAAGATGAACGCATAATTATACACAAATAGCCTGGTGTACGCATGGCATTTAAAAAAAGCAGGCCATCTAAGACTAAGTTCAATATTTTCGTTGCCGTAATAAAGAGACAGAAGAAAAGATGCATAAAAATAAACTTTACAAAGCAGCTAATATTACCACTTCGATTAAAATACTGATGCCAATCTCATGGAATAGTTGGCACGTTTCGCTTCGGATGCCGAAACAGTGCGAGCACGCAGTTGCGCTTAGCTAGCATCAGGGTGACCAGACGTCCCGTGATTTTGCCCATGTGTCCTGCGTCCCGTAGCGACCCTTCCGTGGACGCATGTGTGTCGCCTATTTTAACATTCTTGAACAAAAATACAGGTCAAAAAATAAGAAAATTTTTCCATCATTTTGTTATTACGACAATTGTTGGCCTGCGAAACCTCTCATCGCTCGCGTTCATTTTACTGCTCCCACAGTACACTGGAGACTGCGTAATTGTCTAACGCATTGTCTGGTCGCGGATCCACTGTAATCACATTATGCTGGCGCTTGCAAATTAGCCGTGCCCCCGGGTATGCTCGCGTAGAATGCTTGCCAACGTGCGTAGGGGGGCGTGTGCGCCGTCGCTCGCGCCGAATTGGCGCGGCTCCTTGAAATGAGTATTAGCACTAAGGAAACAATTATTTTATCACAAGACACTTTTAATTAGTGCCGATCGGCGCACGCAATTTTAACTATTGGAAATTTGGTGGCCACATCAAGTTTTGGTGCCCCGGCCACGGCCACCGCTAGTCGGTCGACCTTGCGGTACAGCTACGGGCTACGTACGCTACGCTACGATTAGTTATGTATGTTGTTATGTTATTATTGTGATTATGAATGCTAACGACCCTCGCTCGTTATATGCAGCTGGCGCAGGCCAGCACGAAACCCTGGAGCTGTATAAGAATGGCTCATGACCTCGCTCTTCATTCTTTTCGCCTTCTATCTGAGCCGGATATCAGCGCCGAAACAGAAGGTACGTACGTCGAGCTACGCGTGTGCTGGGTGCGTCGTGCAGAGCGGGTTGTGTGTGCGTGCGTGAGCGCGTGTGTGTGTGTTGTGGTGTGCGTGCGCGGTGCGTGTGTGTGCTGCGCGCGCGTGTGTGGTGCGTGCGTGGCGTCGCGTCGTGCGGCTCGCGTGTGCCTGTTGTCGTCGCGGCGTGCGTGGTCAGCCGCTGCGTGCGTAGATTAACCATACGGCAGTCATGTGTTCCGGCAAATCGTTTGCCCACATCACATTACAAAATAATCACATTGTAATTCTACATTGACAATTACATAGCACGTAATCCTGTTAGTCGTACTAACGCATGCTCTCCGGCGTGCGCTGCGTCCGTTGTGTGCGGCGTGCAGTGCGTTTCTCTCCTGCAGTTACTACGTAACACCGAGTTTCGTCCTGTGTGGAAGCAGTTCGACATCGACGGAACTCCACGGCTCAAGGAGGTCTCCTCGACTACTTTCCCAGGTAACTTACGACCTGCCTGCATTGACCTCTGTTGAGCCCTGCTGACGTTCTGAGTGAGCGTCGCGTGTCGCTGCGGATGACCTCGATTGAAGTTGAACCAGTTTCCTGTGTCATCAAACGCACGCAAAACGCTTATTGTACGCACCCCACCCTCGCACACTACGCATCAGCATCTCAACAACGTCACGACACCCGCGCACGGCACCATTAGTACACAGCCGGCACGGACATCATTTCTCCCCTGCACCATGCTACGTACACTACTCAGTCTTTCCGCTCACGCATAAGCAACACCGCCACCTACGTGTTTGTTTCATGCGAAAGTACCAATCTGAGATTACGTGTTATCCGCTTCTATGCACTCCTCTTTACTCGCGCTTCACCGTGAGAATCACTGTTCTGTGTTTCAGATAAGTACAACCTGGAGATCACATGTTATCCGCAGGAGTCCTGTATTGCTCTACTCGTCTCTATGCACCGCGCTAAACCGCAAGGAGGCGGCGCTAGGACTGCAGCTGAGTATAACGCGTAGATGCGTCACCACCGTCTGCTATATCCTATATCTTAATAATCTAAACCTGACTCTTGCTCTCTGTGTTCAGTATAATCTAATCTATCTATCATCATCTACCTATCTATCCTAGTCTACTCTATCTCAATCTATCGTGCGTGTGTGTTAAAAGCAGCTTTTGCAGAAATTGCAGTTTCATCGCCGGGAGCGATGTGCCTGCCCTGTGTTCAGTACTAGTGTCGTCGTCTCAGTGTCTGTGTTTCATATATATCAAACCCTGTCCTCTTGTCTCTCTGTGTTTCAGTAATGTCATACTCTGTCTTCTCTCTGGATTTCCAGGATGCTAAACTCTGTCTCTCTCTGTGTTTCAGTAGTCTAGTACTCTGTCTTTCTCTGCTGTGTTTCAGTATGTCTAAACGCTGTCTTCTCTCTGTGTTTCAGTATGATCTAAACCTGTTTTCTCTCTGTGTTTCTATATATCTAAACTCTGTCTTTCTCTCTGTGTTTCAGTATGTCTAAACCCTGTCTCTTTCTGTTTTTCTATAATATCTAAACTCTGTCTCTCTCTGTGTTCAGTATTCTAAACCCCCCTGTCTCTTTCTCTCTTGTTTCAGCATGCGATACTACTGTCTTTCTCTCTGTGTTCAATTTCTAGTACTCTGTCTTCTCTCTGTTTTCAAAGTAATGTCTATACTCTGCTTTCTCTCTTTGTTTCAATATGTCTATACT